AAACAATTAGACTTTGTGGCCAGCCTAACTCTCCCATGATAGGGCTGTCACCTTGATCCAGATTGATGAACGTGTTCTCCCACCCTAGCCCTCTGTTCAACCCGACTGTGAGTGGTGAACTTGGAACTTGGCACTGATTTTGCCTATTGGAGTGTTTTTGATGTTTAAAGATTTGTCATTGTCCTGATCAAACTTTCACATGGATGTTCGTACACAGCTGAAGAGATAAGATGAAACACTTGAGTTCAACCTGTCCTGTGGCGATGCTTGTTCTTGCTCTGATGAAATTCTTAAAGGGAACTGAATGTATGACATAACATTTTCTCTCCTCAAGTTCTGCTTAGACCACTATTTATGTAAGTTAAAATACACCATAACATTAATTAATCACCGTTCACAAGTTGACGAAAATCACGGCGTAGGAATCGTGAAATGGTTTTTAACCGATATTTTATCTCCTCAAAGCAGATTCCTATTCCTCTATCGCAAAAATGACCGGTAGATCTAGAAACGAAACTCGAATGAAGCATCCAAACAAGTTATTGGGCGAATCCTACGTGGAACGGACAATCGCCCAGTCCCGCAATCTTAAGCTGATCCAACACAGGCGAAGTTTCGTGCTTTGTTGAATCCATGGAGTCCGTTGATATCTTAGTTGAAATTTTACTAATCCGTAAACCAACTATGGTAGTCATTTTACATTTTTTATGATTGTAAGTTGAAATTCAGTCTGTAAGAACCTAATGCAAAACATCAGTGCAAGATAGGATTTCTTATATCACTTCCGCAACAATTTCCATGCAGCGTATTTTTTCACTTAGATCGTCAGATTTAATCACGTGGTAAATTGTGAGTTATGCTGATGTTCTTTCGGAATACGGGATTGAAAACTGAACTTGTATTCTGATACCCATCTACTCCTTGCCTTTCCTTAACTCGACATGTTTCATTACCGCCCAATTAACAGCAAAAAGCTTAAACGTTCCCCGAAAGCATCTCGGCTATGCAAGTCCTTGTAACTAGTTTCACCTTTACAGCATTTGTATTTTAGAAAGTTCTGAACGAGTTCTGATGAGACGAATATTTTTTGTCCTCGATCAGTAAAACTCTTCCTATGTTCCTTTTTGGTAGTTTACATCAGTTGAGCCCATTTGTATCATTAATGTACAAAACAGGATTTGCTATGTAACCACCGTGTCATATATTGCTTCACAATTCCTTTTTGTGCTCGCCAGCTTCAAACTAGCGAACACGGGACAACGCGTGCAACAAGTTGATCACGCAGTGCCGCCGGTACACGTCCTTCTGCTTAGTTCAATAACCAGTAAACACTCTCAGGTCAAACCCTGATCAAATTACCGTGGGTCAATCTAAGGTAAACCTTGATTGTAATGATAGATTACAAAGCGAGCAATGCTCACGTAGCGATAGTCGTTTACGAGTCAACTATAGAGAATCATATCAAAGGACTTACTTTGATTCCAAAGCAACTTTGAAGGATAAATTCAATCTCCGATCCAAGTCAACCCAGAAGATGGTGCTTATAAAATCCGTAACTGGAGCTTCATATTCATGCAATCATTAGAACACACGCACATACACTGATAAACCTGAAACCACCAAATCTTTAAAAAATGGGCCAATGGACACACCAAAGTGAGAATGTATGACCGGTTTGTCGAGCGAATGTTAATCAATCCATTCCTAAGAAACGCAATGTTGCTCACACGCATAATATTCGTATATTTTCATGAGTATTTGATTCTATTTCGGAGGAAATTCGTCGTGTACAGGACAAATGAAGTGTGAACTGAAAAGGTAGGAAGCACAACTGGACAGCTCTTTCGACTAGTTTGGGTCTCATCTACTGCAGTGCCCGAAACCATCGGCGAAGCTGAGGATCGAGGTGTGGACTTCACATGCAGAGCGCAAGTATGTCACCCACTCGGCCATCGGACAGCTGACCAATTCATTTCTCATTCACACAAAACAACACAGTCCCGAATTCGCGATCCCCGGCCGGGTCGGTGGATTGGCTCACTACTGATGAGACCCAATCAAGCCGAAACAGCTGTACCGTGCTTCTTAGATTTCCAGTTCACGCCCTGTACACGATTAATTCCCCTTTTTGGATTTTTATAGTTGATTAGTCTACTAATTTTAATGAAGTTTGCTTGAGTTCACTTAAACATGAAAAATCATGAACGAGATGCATTGCGAACTTCCATCCTTGACCACATGACATGATGTAAGAATGTTCCTTGATTTTCTCCCCTTACCAAAATACAAGCCGAATACCAAAGCATCTTTCGCAGTAGCACATAGTTGATTCTTTACTGTACAGCAATCTTTGTACAGGCATGTTAAGCTTTCTATTCAAATAAAGGTTAAGCTTTTAACAAAAGTACTATCTCATGATAGCAACACTCAGAATTGTCTAAAAGTTTGTATCACTTTAGTAGTAACGAGAAATCGTGCAGATCGTGTCAAATACATGAACCCGCTCCAAATATCAACTCGTTACAGTGCATACTAGCCCCACATATAGGAACAGTGCAATTCCATATCGTTCTCGGTTATTGTGCATTCTTAAGACAATGATCACTCACCTCAGGAAAATATTCTGGCATTATTTTATTTCTTATTTACTACGGTGTAGAATTTCGCTCACAACAGTTAATTAGCAACCCTGCGTAAATGTGTTTGTGTGTACGCTCTTGCGCTCATTGGTAGTCAAAACGTACATATTTTCTAAATGTTAATGCTTTGATAACCCGCGGTTATCTACCAACATGGACTACGTACGGTTATCGTTACGTTACGAGATTTTTTGAAACTTGCATCAACAATACCGTTGCAAACCCAAAAGTATTTGATTGATTCTTTCTATCACGATCATTTCAAGGACAGTACTTACATCACAGGCCGGCAAACTATTTAGAAATTCCAACTGCTCTAGGTGATTGTGCAGTTCATATCGCCCTCATTATTGACAACTACTGGGAGAAATCAACCGCCATTACCAACCGAGGTTATTGGAACACAGTCTCGCAGTTGTCCCGCTTTAGTCCACTTTAGTCCATTTTCGCAGCTGAACTACACATTACTTGTACTGTTTACCAGACCGAAGCGTGAGATCAAACGCACCAAAAGTAATCACTCACCTTCAAGAAACATGCCTCGTTGACAATCCGATCCAACTGTGTTTGGTCTGATACTGAAATCACGAATTATTCGTAATGAGAAGCAAAACGTTAGCAACAAGTTAGATTTCGGCGCAATACAAAATGAATTTGTCCAAACTGAATTAAACTACTCTATGGGCAGAAAATGTTTTTCAGTTTTCCTCTAGATATTGACTACCTGAGCGCTGTTCATATTCCTTCTTTGTCTGATATACGACCCAGTCATATGGACTCGCGTTTTTAAAACACTCCGTCTTCATTTACGCCCATTCCCTCTAGCGAAATGTATTAACACATGCGTTCTCTCAAAGTGTCCTCTGCGCCTTAGCTCAGACAAATTGAGTCCTACACTTTCTATTTATGGTACTCTGCTCTGTCTCTCATTTTTTCACACAGCTGATCTTTCAGTCGAACTGCGAAGTATTCCGTAGTGCTGGCGCCCAGTGAGAATTACACCCATCCGGAAAGGAACGTCAACATTGAAACTGATGGAGCGTTCAGTGCCGCATCGCCGCATCGCCACTCTCACTAAACCCGATAAAAAATGTCTCAGTCTGTATTCGAACACCCCCGTCAAATGTGATTACCACTACTTCTCTAGTTCACTGCAACATCTGCAACTTCCTAAATGAGAAAGCCAAATATATGCACTGTGCACTTCTGGGTTATTCTTCCGTATTTTCCGGGGTTCCTAGTTCGTTTTTAGGTAACAAGTTCCAATCGTTTGGTTATCCCACTTCTCTTTTTCAATGGCTTAGTGACAATGTTTCGCAAAGATGTCAGTATGTTAAATTGGGAAAAATACATTTGACAGCTTCACTGAATAGTTCGGGTGTACTTGAATGGGCTGTCTTATCCGCCTATCTTTTTACGACTTATATTGGTGGCTTATCTATCACTTCCCCTGCACGACATTTTAAGTATGCTGATGATATCGCTATTTCTGTTTCCATATCTAACCAATCAGAACAGGCTGCACATAACACAAACGTATCTCAGGTCGTTTCGTATTCCACTGCATCCGGTTTAACTCCTAATTCCGAAAATGCCTTGAATGTGCTTTCAAGTTGAACTGTTCCTCATTTTCCCTCCGATCAGGCACAGATTCAGGAAAAGTCGATGAACAGAGTCAGCCATGTGTCACCCAACCTGTTGCTCGAAAGCTGAACGTTCTCGCCTTTTAGTGCGCAAGACTGTGTCCATTCTGTTTTGAGAGAAGATTTTGTTCAACAATGTGTTCTCTGTTCAACTCTTTACCGATCCCCCGTGATTTTCCTTCAAGGTCGAGGCCTCTCAATGATCCGCCGTGTTTCTCAAGTTTCGTTATCTGTTCTGATGCTCATATTGATGTGTGCTTGAAGTTTGCAGACAATATTCTATCTGATTTCACCCATCATTTCCCGATTGATCTGTGTGGATTAAAATCCCACTCCACTCCTGCACCCGTTACNNACAAATAGACTCGTCCCATCTGGGATATCTGTCTACAGAAACTCTTTGACACCCTACCTTGGACCGACAAGAAGAGTGTTATTTCTGAGTTTTCTAATGCATTTATTAGTTTAATTCACAGTTTTTGCACGGCTTATGTCCGCGGTCTTTCCCTTTTCTGTTACCCTTTTTGTGACGGTAATCTTTTTTGGCTGAAAGCTTGTATGGACTTAGTTAAAGCCCTGGTACAATACAATACAATGTAATGCATATCATTATTATTGTGTACAAGGATTCACACAAATGTGCATACAAACATTTAATCCAAACCAACCAAATACCGCCAATTCACATGCGAACTGGTCAAACAAAGTGCAGTCAAAACTAACCCATCGGATATGCCGTACTCCACCATCGCTGTATTTGATCAACCACCGCATCGTCTTGAAATGCTTCCTCAGATTCCCCTGTCCTCGGCTGCGTTTGCGAACGGGCCTCATTCAGCAAGGCCACCGGTGAGGGTAGATCGTGTAACCAGCGACGTAGACGGGACAGCATTCTACGCACAGTCTCGGGACAGTAAAAATCTTCCGGTGTCGTATAGGAGTACAAAGAAGGTTGCCGACCGATAATTTTCGGATTGATAAGAGAACGCCATCGTTTGGACGGGTTAGGGGAACGAGCAAAATACAGTCCCTCCATCGGAGACAGCCGTCCTTGCGGATCACACGAACTCATATTGGGCAGTGTGGCGTACTGGATTAAAAAAAAAACATCGGGGTCTCCTCAGTTTTGATCACGATAAATTTACTGTGCGGTTTACTGTGCCATAAANCCCCCCCCCCAAACGAGTTCATACTCGTCCACCAAGTCTTTCGACGTCGTTCAATAAAAAATCCCATTTATCTTATTGCTCATCGGACAAAGATGTGTTTGATTCGTTTCATCATTTAGAATTCATATCTGTCAACCGGTCATTGTCTCGTTTGTTGCAAATTTGATTGATTCAAAGTTTTATCACGGGGGATTTGACAAGGCTAACGCTTATCATGCCCCATAGGATATTTGCGAAATGTTTCGGAAAACTAGACAAACACACAAAACAATAATAACATGCTTGATCAATCACGGATGTCAAATTTTTAAGTGTTCCGATGCTGAGTCAAGCTGCAATTAGAATAATTTACTTGTAGGAGCACGGTTACACACACGCACACACACTATTTGGGCGGGAAGGGAACTCCATATTCGGAAAACTCTAATTGAGAACGAATGACACCGATAATGCAAATGACTGTTCTGAATCCTCAAATTCAAGGAATGTCTCCCGAGGTCATTATATTGAACACAAATTGAACACAAAAAGGCAAGAGTTGTTGGGTTGATGAAGTTTGTGGTATGTCAAGATTAGGTCTCCGCAAAACGAACGGTACTGAGGTGAATGAATCATCATTATGTGCAGTCTTTCGGAGTATGTCTTGTCGCACAGACTCTTTTTCCGTATCTGTTGCCAACCTATTACGGATATTCTATAGCTTTCTTGTCACGGTTCAGTCATGTATTCCATACTTGAATAGGGTATTCTGTGTGTAACCGAATGAACGCCGAGAGCAAGCGTGGTTACAGTGCCAATCGGAATTGCACGAAAGTATGTCTGAGTCGTCCAACTTGCTTTAGAGCCGTGGACGATGCTCTGGTATGAAACATTCCTCCAGTCTTCTAATACTGTAACTCCTAAACCCCTTTCATCAGTGGCATGCAGTAGTATTTCGTTCCCTAAGAACATAGGAGAAACAGGTCTTGTGAACATACACCGTACCTGTTCCAACCATTTAGTGATATTTTGTGGAACAAAGGGGTTTTGCAACGGTTTTGATCCCGTTCCCTGATCGGGATCCAATTTTAATTCATATTTTACTTTCATCAATCTTTTTCCTTTTGTTTCGCGAACGTGGTGCAATTGATACTCGGAGACTTGGACAAAACAGTGTAGCTCACGTGACCGAAGTGAAACCTGTGGTTCCTACTTCTACAAGTATCAAATTATGTTTCTGGTCTGATATTGGGTAGAGAGATGTTTGTTCAATTTTGGTTGAAGCATTTATATACCCACATCAACCACTTCAATCACACTACTGACTACGAATTAAATCCAGGGCCACAAACTAGATTATGTCACCATGAATTGGGATCATCAGAACATATGCATCACACACACACAATGGTAACAGCGCCTACACCCCATTCTGGTTTGATCGATTGCTTGACTAAGCGTCTGACCGATCAATATCCCGAAATTATTTGATTCAATGATCATAACTGTAATACTTGGTGGCATCCTTTTTCTTATTACGTAGTTTGGCTATCACCGGGTGAGTATGAATTATTTCAATCATCTGATATGCATCCGATGATTTGCCAGTTAGTGCAATCCATCAGGGCTATTCCGTTCACAGTCAACTGCTGGGTACTGGTTGAGCACTGGGCGATAACCCAAGCTCGGTACGGCCCACTGCGATGTTGATTGACATTACTCATGGCTTCGGCGGTCACGAACACATTTTGTGACCTCAGTGGTGATTGATTATGTGTGTATGCAAGCTAATTGACAGTGGATTTTAATATGCAGCGGAATAACCCTGACGATAACGTTCGGGGTGACTTTCTCACGCAACACTATCCGTTACTAGTTGCTGAAGAAAAAAAACCGTTGTCATATAAACTCTACTTTGTACATATTTTGCTTAGAGTGAAGAGACTCAAACCGTAGTACTAGTTATCTGTAGTGTAAACCAAAAGTAATGAATTAGTTTCAGTACTCTTCCCCCTGAACACCACGGTTGTGTCTGATCAATCTGGGAACTGAAAAATAGAAATAAGAGTGAGCTCAATAATCAAACTCCATGATGGAATGCACAGTGTCTAAACGACCGAGGGAAGAGAACAATTACCAGAGAGGACATAGTGCTTCATTCACGATGGACATTTATTCAGAAATCTTCAGCACAACATCATCATTTCAAGCAAAGGGGACATTGTGAATGTTGTAATATTAATAACACAGCGATGTCGATAGAGTGTTATATTCGTCGACGTTTCGCTTAACGTGGGTAAGGCAAGTTTTATAATCAAATAACTCAGTTGAAAAGATCACAAGTCAACGAATATTCCCTCGTGTGAGTGTGCGGTGGGCTTAATGATTCGCTGTCTGTCGGGACGGATTGAGTAGGCGAATAACCACCGCCTCGACTGTAGCGAGGTGTCGTTGACGAACAGTTTTTGATGGGTTTGCCGATTCTTTGTAGATCACCTTGCTACAGTGTTTTCTTTATGTCACGACGAGCATATTCAATGTATTATTAACTTTATTACATTCACCATAAAACAACACATGCAGCATCAATGTTTCGACACAATCTTAACATCATTTGGTGCTGATGTATTAAAAAAAAACAAGTGGGAAATCAATCGAAATTAGAAACTATCGTGACTGAATTGTTTGATAGCACGAAAACGTATTTTTGAATTTATACAGAAATCAGGCGCCTCTGATCGCTTGGTAATTCATAAGCTACCATCAGAAATGATCAACTGGCCAGTTGCAGTACGTTGGTGCTCGATTGGAACTTTTGACGTGCTCTTATTCGCTTAGTGTTTCGATCGTAAAACTAAAGTTCCATTGCCGTAAATTGACTTTACTGTGTTTTACACTTCTTTGTTTTCCGGGTTTGCTATCATAATTATT